AAGCTCTTTATTTCTCTCATATTGCCTTTTCACCCTCTGTCTGAAACCAGAGCCCGGTCTGGTCTGATTGGTTGGTCAATTGCTTAGAAACGTCCCGCCCGTAAGATTATCACGTGGAATGTGTTGGAGTGTTAGCCAATAGAAGCGCAGGTGTAACATAGTCATGTCATTATGTTTCGGAAGTAAACAAAGGAGTCCAATGGAGGCGTTTAAGGAAAGGGGGGAGTGTGGGGGAGAGAAAATCCCTCTGAAAGGAACTTAGCGTTTGCAGACCATTTACATGCACAAAAACGATATAACACACTAAGGGAAAGGGAAAACCCCAAATGAGCATAATAGGGCCTCTTTAAGGTATTTGAACATAACTATGATGTGCTTTATTTACGTTAGCAGTTATACAAATACGTAACTCTCACCTTGAAAAGAACACCATTTAAGGATATGTTCTTCACTTACAATAATAAGAAAAAAAAATGTCTTACTCCGATTACCAAATATAGAAAATCAATAAAAGGAGAATGCTTTGTACAGTTGCTAATCACATGAAAGAAGACGGACGAGTCAGTCAGGCAGACGACAGAAACCAATGAGGCAGACTGTGAGCTGGCTCCTGCTTCCATCACCATTCCAGGAAAATAAAGAACATTTAATCCTCCATCAAAAAATGGTAGAAGAAAGGAAGGCTCCTCCTAGCCATCGCACTCTTTACTGCAGCCAGCCATTAAAGGACGGTTGAAAATAGTGCATTTGGACCATGTTGTGGAGACCAAGCACTATTAAAAGTCAGGCAAATGATTTTACCAGTGCTTATGAAATTGCACGGAGGTGCCATGTCGGCTCCTGCAAGTGCGGTCCAAGAAACCCTTCTGTGGGTGATCAAAAAGTACTTGCAAGCGCACACACACACACACACACACACACACACACACACACACACACACACACACACACACACACACACACACACACACACACACACACACACACACACACACACAGGGCTCAGTTAGCAGTCCCCATTGGTTTGGAAGGCTGCAGCAGGCTATAACAACTGCAGCCTGGCCGGCCCGTTAGTAGAGAGCCCTCTGTTTCAGAAATCTGGGTTCTCTTTGCCTTTGGACAGGGACCAGGTCAGGCTGCACAATACACCACTGTGTTGGGAGAGTGTGAGAGAAATGAGGGAGAGAGGGAGAGAGAAAACTGCAGACATGCTAGTTTCTGTGTGCCAAGATGTGTATAAATAAGCATGTGCGCGCAGGTATGTATGTGCGAGTATGTTTTGGTTGGGAATACTGCACGTGTGTGTGTGTTATGACTGTTAGGCCCACCACACCCTCTCTTTTTCTCTTCCATACTGGATTGCAAAGTCTACGTTGTTACATCATCATCAATTTGCTACCTCAGCACAAGCAAGCATTTTGGGACCCTCCCTCCAGGCAGTGTTTCAATTGGTGTTGTTGAAACCCTCCAAGAGGTCAGTGCACAATAAGTAACACACATCACTGTCAGTGTGAAACAATACAGCGTAACGCGACTTTGCAACTGTGACGACTACAAGGAAAACAGGCCGCAGATGCAGAGTGGGCCGGGGCTTCCTTAAGGCCGCACCTGTCCCTTTAAGATCTCTTTCTCACAGCTTGTGGGTGCTGAGCGGGCTAGCCTGATCCGAGATGCGCTGCGCTGTGCATGTATGGTAACAGGGGGGAACCGCGCCTCCCAGCCTGCCAGCCCACCGCGGAGAATTTGTTTATGTTTCCTCGCTGCCAAGTTCCTGTCAGGAGGCGCCCCGAAGAGGAACTGCAGAGTACTCAGTGCTGTTAGCTACGCCCTCTCGCCTGGAGTGGCTGGGGTTTTCTGCGCACAGTATCTAGTGGTGCTTTGTAGCAACACTTAAATCCAGGGAGGTCTGTTCATCTGTTCATCAATTCACACACAAACACACACTTCAAGCGTGCTCACTCTGTTGTTCCATAACCGGCTTAAGAGAGCGTCAAACTTTATAAAACAAGTTCCAACAGAGAGCTTAATTTATGGCCTCTAAACAGATTAACACCAATTGACTCAAAATGCAGTGCATAAAACAATACAAAGGCATATTTTCATTAAAGCAACACTTTATGAGTGGCACTTTGTTATCCTGGGGATTATGGGTATTGTAAAAACTGAGCACCACCACATAAATACACAGTAAACAGTGTTGGTAAACTCATGGGCATGGAGTCAAGTACTTGTGGGAAAAGAGCTAAATGGAAATAACTCTCCCTCTAATGAGAAAGAGCAAAGCATGCTGACTTCCAACAACACACCATAACATTTCCTCGAATTACGACAAAGAAAATATGATCCATAACTGCCAGTGAAACAATGATTGCATCAATTTTGCACATTAATGGAGTGCCTCAGCCTGTGTTTACATGTTATTTTTGACTATCCACTGCATATGAGCAGCCCTTCTGTCAAACAAGGTCAACAAGTGCGTCCTCTATCTCGATTCTGTGGCCACCCACGAGTTTGCCTCCTGCAAAAAGGAAAGAGCTGCTCACTTACAGGGGTGTCAAGGACACGGGCCGTTTGTCTTCATACCATGCATGTGCGATGTCCAGTAAGTGTGTGTTGTAGGCGACAGAGAGATGTGCGTATGTGTGAGGAAGGAGAGGTCAGACGAGACCACACAAAGGGGGCGTGGGACCCAGTATGGCGAGAAAGAGGAAGAGATAGGATAAAAAAGGGGAAGAACAAAAGATGGAAGTGTGGATGGAAAGATGTAGGCCGGGGTTTGGGGGACTGCGTGAAAGCAAAAACAGGAAGCCATTTATGTCAGCTTGGAAGGCGGGAACAATCCCCGTAACATGGCTCTTACTGTTTTTGACTTCAAAGCCAGAACTTAGAAACATAATGGCTGATTGGAATAATGCACAGGGGAAAGGCACTGACTGAATGTGTTTGAATGACATTCATTTTTAACTTCTCCATTTGTTCACAGTGGGTAGAGAGCACACGCACGAGTGAAAACTTGAATCAATTGAGCATCGGCACACTTCTGCTATTCTGCTGACGGTGAGGAAGTAAGATGCCACACAATATCTTGACATTCAAGTGCCTTACAGAAAATGAGCTCAGCAGCGCAGAATACCAACTAGATTGAAGTAGCTTACTCAGCCGTAACTTTCAAAATGTGGGGTTTTGTGAAAATCGAATTGGTTAATCAGAGGTGTTGAAGTGTTGGAAAGCCCCTCACAGTCGCACCACTACACTCAAATGTATCACGATGAAAGAACAAAAAGATGCCTTGGAGCCATTAGAGTGACAAAGACACTAGGCAGTTTTAATCTAACATGAGGAAATCTTGAGGAAAGAGCACAAAAGTCTGATTCAACAACAAGTGTGTCGAGTGCTGATTATTCCATTCTGTCCAGCATTGAGGGAGAATAATAAGTGTGGAACAACTGTGCATAAACAACACATTTTAATTTCCCGCAAGTTTCCATGTGTAAGGCGGAGATAAAAAAGAAAACAACACTGCAGAAAGAAAACACAGGAGTCCCATTGTAGGCAGCGACCTACCGCACAGAGTGTGAATCATTAAAGGCATGTGTTCCATATCAACTGCCGGGGCCGTTTCCCAAACCCGCGAATGAGACTGGATCTAAATCACGACGGGGACGGGGGGGTTAAATACCGCTTCACGTGGAGATGAAAACCCCAAACCTGCTAACTCAAGAGGGGGAGACAAACTGGAAAATGACTGCATGCGAGAACTGCGTGTACCTTCTGCCAGTTCATAAAATAAAAGCAGTGATGGATAAATGAAGCAGCTAATGGAATCATTTAATGATTTCCAGAAACAGAGATGTGTCATCACGAACAAATGAAGTGAATTCAGTGATTTGATGGGCACTAAACAACTTAGATGAGAGGCAGGCTGAATCAAAAACGGGCCTACTTTGCTTCCTGCATGTTTTTCAGGCTGCCTTTGCCAATTCCTAAAAGTTATAACACAGTGGGATAACATTAACAAGGAAAACAAATCAAAGGGTGAGGAAATGCACAACAGAAGAAGAGTTGTATGCAGTCTTCTTGACCATCGGGCCAGATGTGTGCCAGACCACTTGTCATCCCCGGTTACAACACAGAGACGTCCTCTGTGGGTGTGAGTATGTGTTTGTATGCAAAAACACATCTCCTCTGTGACGCAAGCATCCACTGAACCAGGCGTGTTGTAAGAGGGACTGCATTCTTCTGTATCATTGCAAACACAACAGTATATTTACTTTTACTTGGAGGCTGGCACGGGGTGAAGAGATCACCTTTCCCCAGGGCCAGGAAGGGACAGGACAAGACATGACAAGGGGGAAAAAACACACGTTTGTACAGGCAGGAGAAAGCCAAATATGACCGGAGAGGACAAATCTCCGCAATCCTTGACACTACGTTTGGCTGCGAGGAGTTGACCAACCTTTTTAAGCTCATTCCTGTCATTCTTGAGGCAACATTAAAGCAAAAAACATGACTTAAAGGCAGGAATATAAATAGATGGTACATTATTTTTCCTTTCTGCTGCTGCAGTGTTTTGCAGCCGACACAAGGAAGATGAATCAGCCGCAATAAATCAGTCTATATTCACAGAGTGGTTGTCCAAGTTCTTCAAGCCAGTTCTAGTGATGAATGGCTGTTTGTGTTTGGTCTTCTCTGCTTGAACATGACAGAGCAAAATCCTTGCTGCCATCTCTAACTCTGAGTTAACAGCGTGTGGATTCAATTTGATTCTACCACTGGCAGTGAAGGCCACTCTAAACAGCACAGGGCTTTGTATGCGTGTGAAAATTGAAATACTTGCAGAATCTCTGAAAATTCAAGACGACCACAAAACCAGCGGGGCAGACACATGACGAGCAACAATGGTATTGAGCAACATGTTGTTTGGCACCCACAGGCACAAGTGTGGAGTGTGCAGAAGTCCAATTACCCAGATTTAACAGGAGCGACAAATTCGGGCTTACCCCAAAAACGTCAATCTCTCTGTCCTTGGCCAAGGAAATCTCCCCTTGAATCGATAGCAGCTCCTAAGCTGTGAAGAGAGAGAGAGAAAGATATTTGAAACCCAGAGCTTTGCGGTCCTTATCCACGTGCTGCAGACTCAGTGACTCCCCTAGTTTCCCTGGCACAGAGCTGCTTCACTACATGAAAACTCTTACACTCTTTTTCCTTCCTATAATCTCTCCGCCCTTTTTCCAATAGATAGAATGCTCTTGCTGCTTTTGAGCCCCAGACATCATGTGAGATAAACAGTGCTTTTGTGGTGTGTGAATTACCTGGGGCCAAGGAAGGCAAAGTTGTGCTTATGGCCACAACTCAATTACAGCAATGTGAATCAGGTGGCAGCTCAGAAATCCCCTCAGCCTGGTGAACCAATAGGGACACAGAGGCGCCTTCACGGAGACAAATCTGAAGTAGCATGCTGTCTGTTTCGTAGAAAGGCAGCTAAGTCTGTGCTGTGCAGATGAATAGTTCCCACAGACATAGATCTAGTGCCGCTGATGTGTGAACAATGCTATTTTGTTTATGCATGTTGCTAAAATATCACAAGTGTTCCCCAATCTGTCTGGTTGCAGATCTATATTGGAAGAGTCACATGGCACTTAGGGTCTCTGATAAACGGCAGCTTTGTTCAGCAGAAAGCATGGAAAGTGTTGTGCCGGATTGTTTTTAAGCAAAAACAACTGGATGGAAATTACAGGACGGTGGTTTGAAAATGTTAAAAAGCCACTTTGTTGGACTTGATGGATTCAACATAAATGCCAAATCGAACAATCATGGTCAATAATATTTGAATAGAAAATTGCTCGGTGTCAAAAGCACTCCGTAGCAGAGAGTTTATGCTGTCTTTTGCTTTGAGGAGAAAACCGAGACAGTCTCTTTTTAGAATATCAGTGATACAGGATCCCTCCAAGTCCCGTAAAACGTAGAGCTGTTGACCAGGCCAGGCTTTTCCACAGGCATGTTCAACAGAAACCAATGACCTTTAAAAGTGGGCTGTTTGGGTTTATTTCACTTCCCTCTGCACTTGTTACGGTGAAAAAACAACATTCTTTACTTGAATTCACAAGAAAAGCAGCAAGTTATCCACGACAGATATGTCCTGAAATCCCTATTTATGGTTGCTCTTTACAGTAGAAGGCTTATCAGTCCACTACAGAACAGAAAAGTCCCCTCCCTCCAGGCCACAGTGGCATTTTACAAGCAGCAACATGCTTTTCTCGCCAATTTGAAATAATCAAGCTTCTGATGATAAATATAACAGAGATGAATAAAGCATTCTTACAGAAATAGTGTATTTATCTTTACTACAATGGCTGCTTTTATGTGCACAACAACACACAACTTATTTTGGCATCCGTGCAAACTTCAATTTAACTTTAATGAGGTATAACATTCTTTATTTATATGATGTATTTGCCAAATAAATGTGTGAAGCTGTGTTACCGTTTCTGTTCAAGCAATGGTTCCAAAATCATAAAATGACCTTAGTTATAGACCTTCACAAACATGGCAAGTAATATGTGTATCGTTTAACTCAGAAGTATTCAAAAAGAAAAAGGGATACAGTAATGCACCTTAAAATATAATATAATGTCTAATAAACTACAACCAGATTTCTTTGAATATCTCGCTGACTCGTAACGTCAAAAGATAACAGTGTGTCTGGCTCCGGTTTACTCTTTTATGAATGGCTTATTCATTAATTCATTAGAATTAAGAAATAAATCAGCATGGGTTATGACAGTGTTTTTCAAAGTGGGGGCCCCGACCCCCGGGGGGCCGCCAGGGGGCACGCAAAGTTTGAGGGAAAGGGGAATTTTTTTAAAGTGCCATTTTTTTTTTTTTTACATGTTATTAATAACTGCATATCTATCAATATATGTGTCCTTTGATACCAATCTTTTAATATTTTTTATTTATTAATATATATATATATATATTTTCAAATCACACGACCGCCCTTCAAGATCAGAATCGAGCTGCCGCTGCTGAGAGTGAAACTGAGTATCTGCTCAGCTTTTGGAGAAAGTGAGAGCTAGTGAATATTTCGCTCTGCAGCTGGGTGAGAGCACGGATGTAGCAAATATTGATGTTTATATATATGAATATAAATGTTTATTGTTAATATTACTGTTGAATATTATATATAATATTATTAAGGCATAAGTAGCTCTCAAAAATGCTAAAAATATGTTAATTGTTCATATTACTGTTCAAAATTATATAATATTATAAAGACAGAAACCACTTTAAAAATGCTTTAAAAATATGTTTACTGTTGATATTACTGTTTAATATTGTGTTAAGAATTTTTATAACAGAAGACACAATAAATGTAATGAATGACAAACAAAAGATAAATACAAAACAAAATTAGAAGAATAACTGATTATTAATTATTAATACAAATATATATTAAGAAAATNNTATTAAGCTGTATGATTAATTTGTCATATTTTCCATCATAATGTACTCATCATTTAAAAAACAAATTGCAACAGGGGGGTCCCCGCCAGACGATAATGCTATATGGGGGTCCTTGGCATGACAAAGTTTGGGAACCCCTGTGTTATGAAACTACACAGTGACACATAATGCTTTAACAGGCTCAAACTTTTCTGGATTTTATAAAATCTTTCGGGTATTGCAGTGTTAGTAAAAACACCCCATTATGCCTTTGAATTATATATAAGCATAGCCCTTAAGCAATGCTTTGCATGTGACAACACAAACTAATACTGTATTTAGCCTTTAGCTGCACAATAACCAGCCTACTTCTTCTACTCCAACACATTATTGTGATAAAATCAGCTGGCTGGTGGCGTCAATGAATCATTCATTTCACTTCCTGTCTTATAACACGTCTTTGATTTGCGTTTGTGGATCTGAAAGATGTGTTTTTACTAGTCCTCTAGACCAAAAACAGCCACATTTAGATAAAAGAGGAGGTACTTTGGAGTGAAATGAGGACAGAGTTTATGCACACGCACGTATGGTGTGTATGGTGTGTGTGTGTGTGTGAGATTCTGCAGCCTGTACACTGATGAAGGTGGACAGGAGTAGCCTGGGGTAATCACATCTTTATCCTTGCTGATGGCTGAGAGCAACTCATTGCACACTTGCG